ATGCTCACCAGGGTCTGCTGAGATGCAGAATCTATGACAAAATTGCACCTTTGGCCATCCAGCTTTCCTGTCACGTAGACACTATGTGTGCTTGGCATTTTACACCTAGCTGTTGGGACTTTCACGATGTGGGTCGGTGGGCGTACCTCAACACCAACCACTACTGGTTTTCCCGAGGCTGACATATTGGTAATATTCTTCTTACACTGGCTCCTCATATGTCCTTGCTCTCCACAGTTCCAACAACCTTTCTGGGTAGCAACCTTTCCTGCTGTGGCATCTTCCCTGTGTTGAAGTTGCCAGCGTTGAGCTTTCTTGTGCCCAGGTTTCTTACAGTGCCAGCAAAGTCCCTCAAACTTCTCTGAAAGCTGACCTTTTCTGGCCTTGAATCCTGATGACTGTACCAACCTTGGTAGTTCTGTGTTGGACTTAATGTGGAATTCTAATTCAAGAGCTCTGGCCATTGCATCCTGCACAGTACAGGGGTGTGCTTGCTTAACTTGTATTTTCAGTTGTGGACTGTCCAAGGCATCTACAAACTGATCCCTCAGCAACAGCTTGAGGACATCGGATGGTGCAGTTGGGTAGGCCTTGTGTGCCATACATTCCAAGTCCTGTGCCAGCTCTTGCAGGCTCTCCCCTTTAGCACGGACTCTAGTCCTAAACGTAGCCCTGTAGACTTCAGACTGATTTTGAGTTCCATACCTGAGTTCTAGAGCAGCTATCAGTGCTCTATAGTTGTGCCTGTCGTTTGCTGACAACTGTCCAAGTATTTCTAGTGGTTGTCCCTTCAAGCTCGTTGCCAGATATACTGATTTCTGGTCCTCTGTCCATCCATTCCTCTTTGCCATGAGCTCAAATTGTGCTCTATATATACTTCCCACGGTGCCTTCCCATCAAATTCCTGTGGCTTCCTTCATACTAGATCACCCATATTGCTGACATTCATATCTGAGATGTGACTTCTAACAGGACTGAAGATGTCTGATTAGGGTTTAGCTGCAGGGTCTGGAAGGGGCTTGCCGTTGTCTGGGACTGATTAAGTCGATGGTTAATATATCCTCCTTGTGTAAAAGACAGTAAATCATTCTTTAATGTGTTTAATTCACTTTGAAATTTACTGATGTTTTCTATTTGTACTTCTTGCCACTGTTGTTGACTTTCCTGTAGTTGCTGCTGACTTCTCTGCAACTGTTGGAGACTTTCTTCCTGTTTCCTTTCTTGTTCCAGTTGCCACTGCTGTAATCTCTCTTCTTGTTTCTTTTGTCATTCTTCTTGTTTCTGTTCTTGTTCTTCTTGTTTCTTTTGT